GATAGATAGATAGATAGATAGATAGATAGATAGATAGATAGATAGATAGATAGATAGATATTTAATCCCTTAGGGATTTTCCCCCTCAGGGAAATTGTAATAAAATATTTAGAATATAAAATGTAAACATAAAATACAAAAAAGAATAAAACTTGCATAAAAAAGCACAATAAAATCCCAACATAAAAGCCTGGGAAAATAAAAATATTTTCAGCTGCTTTTTGAAAATCTCCACAGAGTCAACAAAACAAAGCTCCAGGGGTAAACTGTTCCACAGTCTCARGGCCACTAACTAAAAGGCCCTGTCCCCTTTAGTTTTCAGAGGAACTAAGGTTTAAAGGACAAATAATAACGAAAACGCTTTTTTGTTCATGTGTTCATGTTAAAAAGGATAATTTTCTTCAAATGTTCCAATCAACTTTTGTAAAGTAGAGAATGATTTGCTTTTATCTTTACACAGCTTAATCATTGATAAAGAGTATTATTTTAACACATGAAGTGAATTTGTTCCATGTTTTGCTTTATTCTGTAACAATGCATTGTTGAATGTAGCTTTGACTTAAAATACAATAATTTCATGTTGATATTTATTAAGATAAGATAAGATAAGATAAGATAAGATAAGATAAGATAAGATAAGATAAATCTTTATTGTCATTGTACAGAGCACAATGAAATTGCAGTTAAGAACACCCATTAGGAAAACATTTTTAAAAAGCTGCCAGTGAGTGTGATGAAAGTTGATGAGTATGAGCTTACAGTGTCTTCTCTGAGGGTGAGGAAACAAGAACTTCTGCATGCAGAAAACAAGGAACTTTTACAACTCATATGAACCTGTCTGTAACGAAGGCAACCGTTGAAAGAGGAAATTAAGCGTTGTCAGAAACCTCTGATTCACTCCATCATGTGCCATACATTCTAAAAGCTTCKTAAAGCAGTATGATACCACAAAAAAGTAATTCCTGATTGAGAAAGCGTGAACAAGAAAAAGGAAGAGGAGTTTTTGGAGGACATTCCCTGCAGACATCTGAACTTACTTATCAAAGTCTCTGTCTTACTAGTGTTTAAAACCAAAAATGTAACTRGAGAACCTGTCACTGATATGAGACAAACACAGACAAGGGCAGCTAACCTGTGGTGACAAATACAGTTGGATGTCATCAGCATAAATGCGATAGTAAATTTTTGAAAACTACTGGATAATGGCAGCAAGTGGGATAATATTCTATAAAAAGCTAAAGTGGGCCCAGAACAGAGCCTTGTGGAACCCCATGATTAACGAGGCATAGTCAAAAGAGAACACGTCCATCTTGGTGCAGACTGTCCTATGAGATAGGTTTGAATGTGAGCCAGTCCATGGCTGAGCCTGAAATACCAGCCAGAACATTTAACCTGTTCAACAGGATTGGAAGTTTGACAGTATCAAAAGCGGCACTGAGATCTTATAGGAGCAACACAGAGCATTTCCCCCCATCAGCAGCCATTAACAGATCGTTGTGGACTTTTACTAAAGCAGTTTCAGTGGAGTGGAGTTTTAAAAAGACAGACTTGAAAGAATCAGAGATCTGTAACTGACACAACCAGGATCTGAATTTCTACAACTTTTTCAAGCAATTTACTGAGAAAGGGCAGCTTAGAGATGGGACGCAATTTGGAAATTGAGCTGGAATCAAGATTAGGTTTCTTAGGAGAGGGGTCACTTCTGCCATTTTAAGATATAATGGGACATACTCTTGGTTCAGGAAGCTGTTAATTATCACCAACACTGTTGGGCCAATGCAGGTTAGAGTCTGTACAAGCATAGAGCGGGGTAATATTTCCAATAAACAAGTAGAGAGTTTCATTTTGCCAGTTAATGAGGTTAGATCATTTAACGTAATCAGAGCAAAAGAAGAAAGTGACTCAGAACACTGAAGTTCAGAGGAGCTTGGGAATATATTAGATTTCAGGCCCATTTCCTTTTTTATGAAAAAAAAACTGAGAAACATTTTACAGTCTTAATTTGGGGTTAATGGAGCATGGTGCACAGGAAGACAGACAATAGTATTAAATAACACTTAAGGGTTTTTTTTTTTTTTTTGGTTCTGTGAATAAGATTACTAAAATAAGATGAACTGGCATCACTAACTGTCTTGTTGCGAACATCAAGATGTTCTTTAAAATATTCCCTGTGGACAACCGGACAAGTATTCTCCCAAAGATCGGCTGAGTTCTCCGGTGTGAATGTTTAACCATGGAAAACAGGGGTAAACAGGGCCACAGTGCATTTTATAAGGATCAACACTTTCAAGTTCAGCAAGGCAGTGGTCACTGAATGAGTCAAACAGAAGCTTCACGTTAGCAGGAGGCACTGTAAAGGAAAAGAAGGAAGAAAACTCTGCAACTACAGAACTGTCAATAAAGCATCTATGCTTAGTGGTACCCGAGAAAATGTCTCCAAACACAGGAAATATTAAAAGAGAAAATCTTATGGTCACTGAAAACAACTTCTAATTTATRATAAACTCTAAACCTCTGAACACGTGGGGCCTCGTTTACTGTTTACAACAGACTTGACAATGTTGGATTTACGAACTGGACCTTTTGTTTCTTTAAATACAATGTCCTGACAACATTTTACTGTGAGATGGAATGATACAAAAAAAAAAAACATTTACAAAGTCTTACTTTGAGTGAAACATATTTTTTCTTGAGAAAAAAATAAAGACATTTCTTCTACCTGGGTGATTGTGTCTTTGAAATTTCCCCAAATTTATGCAAATACAAAAATTTGTTTATCTCTCCAGGTAAAATCCTAAGAATTTGCTTAGGCTTTGTACGCAGTGTAGTGTGAGTGAGGAAAGGGTTAGAGAGTCTCAATCCTTCTGTCCAACTGCAACAGGAAATTTTCCAAAATTTAAATTTAGTTTAATTTCTCTTTTTAATTAAAATCATTGCCCACCAGCCTGCCAATAAATCAATAGAATAC